ACATTAGGAAACAAAACTTCAAGAACACGGCCACACAGCCCGGAAGACCCACACCAGCCACTATATGTACTACCATTAGACAGAAAAATATACAGTTAATTTTATTGGTTTAAACATTGCCAGAGCATTGTTGAAATGCTGTACCATTACAGAATATTTCTCTTAAAAATAAAATGTTGCTTGTAAAATATCCAAACTGCTAAGAAGTGAGAATTGTATCTTGTGCTGGCCATTGTACCATGACATCTATGTTTAGTGATCTGGTAGAGGATAGTCAAGTAAATTTATAGCACGTGGCAAGAATAAGGATGAAAATTGCATGTTCCCAGCAACTACATCTCACACAATCTTCAGGCTACACATCTGTAACCATCAGAAACCAGAGGATTACAAGGATGCCTTGCCTCTTCTAAAATGCTCTCTAGAAGCCAAAATTGTATGTGCTACACTAATTTCTCCCACCCAACCTTGCTTTGTCATTCAACTTTGTCTTGTCTCTTCACTTCTAAGTCAAGTTAGTAAGTTCACCACATTCACAATATCTCTGTGTTATGTCCACCATGCTTGCTAGTTAGTTGTGCAGTTAATAAACCAATTTTCACGAGGCGCCATCTTGTATAGCCACACTCTTGGACCTGATACAGGGAACAATCCTGGCACTAGGCTATTTATATTCCGTGGCATAAAGGAACAGTAAGAGTGCGCACTTCTTTCAGTCACACTCAGTCCAATAGATACCTTGACAAACTGTACATCACAAAGAATGTGAACAGAGTAATCTGGAGTGTATATGTTGTTGTTGCTGCCACTATGGAGTTGGGTGCTGCTGCCTCCATAGTCATTACGTTCTCGAATAGGAGACTCGGAGCGATTTAATCCACTGCAACGGGATGGGGACTGATTCACTAGAAATAAAGAAGAAGCAATGAATAGAAAAACACAATGCCTAAAGTTCAGCTTCTATGAGTTAAAGGGAAGCATTCTTAAGATTCCCCTAATCTTCCTTAATGCTGACATTTTAATTTGCCTGGAATGAACTCCACCCGTAAGAGCTCTTGGTTTTTTATTCTGCATAAATTTGAAAAAAAAAATCTGAATGTTTATTTGTTGAATGGTTCTCCTTGTAGAAATCCCCACAAGAAAACGTTATAGTATATTTCCCAGTTCCTACATGTTGTGCTTTCTGTTCAGGCTCCAACTATCACTGGGACTTTATAACAATGATCAGGATTTGCAAGGCCAAGAAGATGACTGAAGCCTAAAAACACAGTTTTTGAAAAGGAAAGTAGTAGATTTTAAAAAATGAAAACAAAAAAAGGATGTTCCAGTAAAATCTTCTTGGCTTAATACCACAGTGAAATACAAGACTGCATTTCAACTGACTCTACTAGAATGCATGGGAGGAAAAATAACCAATCAGCTTTTATACTGCTGCCTCTATGCTCTTTCTCCAGAAATGGAGGTAGTTGGTTCCTCTCCAAGACATATCTATACCTAACATAGAGGTCTTTTAAGTGTCTCTTGTCTATCTAGTGCCAAATTCCTATATTTAAATTCACTTTTGCAGCTAATCTACTGACCGTTCTCTTGTTCTTTTTAATTTTAATTTTTAATTTTTCCTGCTTGCATTAATACCTTCTTCTATTCTGGAAAAATTACTATAGAAACCTATGGCACCTTGTAGCAAAACCCCATGCCTTCTCAAAACAAAGACCCATTCACAGCAGAACTTAATTGCTAGGAAGTTTATACAAACATACAGTCTTGAATATTTAAATTACAATTTTGAATTACCAATTTCCTTAACCTGATGTCTGAATATAACCAAGGTGGGTTTTTTTCCCCTATAACTCCTAATATTTCCAACCAATCACACAGGCATACTAGCTGGTAAACGTGATAGTCATACTTTTGAAGGTCATCACTCTGAGGTAGGCCACTACAATTAGTTAACACAAAAGACAGCCAAAGGATGTATTCTGAGTAGACCTGCATAGGATAGAATTTCTTATGACATGACACATTATAAACTCTGTCTACTTCAAAAGATACAGTAACTCAGAACTATACCTTCCACACAATCTCCTTTTAATTCTTTCCCTTCTAATGATTTTAATTACATAGTGTTTGAGTGAATACATGTATAGTTTCGTCTGTATTACCAATAGTTCTTTTCCCCCTTCTTTTATTGCTACCTGGCTATTTTAATAAGATCTCTCTTAAGTAAGACTCCATGCACATCAATGGGAATATATTTCTATTATCAACAAGAAGCATGTATAGCTGCAACAGTGAACCACAGCCAATCAAGTGAGGAGAGATGTTTGAGCACTCTTTAATGGCTTACTCCTCACTTGAATCAGATGACTGGAACATACTTTTGTGTAACACATTTCCAAGGATGAAAAGGGTTAGGCAATATTTAGAACACTGAGACTATATAGTGGCAATATTCAAAAAGTAATTGTCATGAGCACAGCTAGCCACAGAATATCCATTTCTTACAAGAGAATCCAGTTTCCAGAATATTCTTTATAAAGCCAGTAAACCCTTTGTAAGAGACCCAGGCATATTTTTGTAAATAAATAAAACGCTAAAGGCTAGTGCTTTACTTTGCACTATACTTGCTGCTTCTTCTTTTATTTACAAGAAACGTTTAAGAAATGCTCCTCTCTTTGTATAATAATAGCATGAGAAAATACTCATTGCTGTAATAACATGCATGGATTTGGACACAAAATGTGGCTCAGCATGGGCAAACAGATTCAATTGTAGGGAAACAGAGCACATGCACACATGTTCACAATGATCTGTTTTGAAGCATGCAGGATATTATAAGCATGTATCTTCCACAGGAGGAAAGAGTCACAGAAGGCCACCCAGAATCGTGAGGCAGCAGAACTGGGTGCTATTTATACTGTTACCTGGGGAGCCAGCCAAAGATTCCCCTCGGCTGAAGGCAAAGGTACGGGACACAGACACAGGTACTACAGAGAAGACAAGGATCAGGAGACAAAAAACAGGGGAAAAGGGAAAGGGAGCAAGGAAGGTTTAGAAGGAACAAAGAGTGAGCTACTCAGGAATGACAACAGCATCATGGACAGGTTAGAGCTTGTTAATCTTCCCTAAGCTCTTTTAGTTTTGTAAAATTTAGTTTTATTTCTAGATTACTTGGACAGGGAGAGGTAAACAGAATGTCAACTTTGAAAAGAAATGTTCCTCTGCATGCTACCTAGCATTATTTCATGGATATTGCATCTCACTTCACATCACTACATTGAGACTCACCAAAATGAAAAAAAGTGGATTTAATAAATACTTCATGAGCATTTATAGATCCATGATGCAATCCCACAAATCACCATTTGATGGCATCAAGAACACAAACAATGGAATGCAGATAGCCAAACAGCAAATTAATTTTAAAACTAGTCATCAGTTACAGACCCAAGCTTCAGAAGTTATATTATTTTTGTAGACCTAGCTGAACTGCACTGAGTGCACACTTATTTGATTGTATTACCATTCCTAATAGTTTATGCAGGGCATCTCTAGCTTTCAAAGGCAAGGGAAATAAATGCTCCAATGCACACATTTATGGCTGGCACTAATGATTCCTCTTTCTGCTCTGGATTGAGCATTAAGGCTGAGAGGGATGGAGAATTATTGGTAAGAGAACAAAGGAATGGGGCAGCAGCAACAGCTGGCAGAAGCAACTGAGTAAGTAAGGATGGTGGGATGGGCTTTTTTTTTAAAGTACTGAGCCCACAGTAAGAGATAAAGAGAAGTAGAGAAAGAAAGGCAACCAGCAATGACATGGAGCACCAACAGATGTTGCTATTAGCTAAAACTGACTGCAGAAGTCTCCATAGGGGACTATGGATACCTGTGGCAAATATATGACATGGCCATTACTGATACACTCAACTGGTCAGACAACTGGAGGTTGTTTTTATATGGTTGCATTTGAGTTGTTCATTATGGAAATGGAATAGGAAAGAAAAAAGTTACACCAGCACCTTTTTATTATAAATTAACTATGCTGACTGGGAACAATGAAGTCCAGCAGGTGTGGAAAGCACTAGATTGGTGATCAACCTATTTAAATATCTCATCAATAAAGAAATCAAGGATCAAATGGACTGTGTTAGTAGCAGAACAGTGGGAGGATATTCTCAAATATTGATCTGCAGTCCTTTTTCTCTGGGATGGTTTCTGATACCTCCATGGTTTCTTCATTCCTCATCCTCAAAGTATACTGTAGTGGCTCCCTCCCTAATTCCCACTGCCCCCAAGAAGCCTCAAACTCTTCCTATTGGGTGTATGCTATGAGCTGCTCCGAAGGGAACCAGTACTTTACTATGGAACTGGTTCAGGCTGAAGTATTTAAGGCAGATCTTCTTTATGTTTATGTAACCTTAAACTGACAGAATCACAACTCCCCGCACAAGTAATGAGTTGACAAACACACTTGGTTTCATATTTGCAATGATTTGTTTCTGGTTTAGGGTGTTGTCCAAACAAGATCAGGTATGGCTTATTTAGTAAACCGATCTTAAAAAAATACCCTTGGCTTAGCCAAAATCTACAGTTCTATCAACTATATCATCAGAGCAGCTGCTCTAAAATATCTGTATCAAATTAAATATTTAAGAGTTGGATGTGGCTAAACTAAATGAAAGAATATCTATTGCAGCTACCCCACCTCACCTCAATTCACAGTTCTGTTGGGGTAGGATTAGAGTGTCAAGAAGCACTGAACTTTATTTAACTTTTCCTCCTGGGAATGCCCAGTGGAAATGGCCTTCTTATACCACCTCATTAAAAAAAAAAAAAAAGTCATGTAGGAGATACATACACAGGAAAGATGACCCAGCCAGGCTGCTCATTTTGCGCCCATCATTATCTGAAAAGACAGAGAAAAATGGAAGGTGAGTTCCAATCAGCCCTTTATTTTGTCACCCCTGCTCTGAACAGGGAAGAGACACATTTTCAAGTATATAAAGAGGCAGGAGTTGATATCAACTGTTGCATGCCTGGATCAGACTCAAGTGAACGGCAGCCCTTAGCACATACATGTTATTATTTGGTTTTACATGACCTACCTGCTTGTAGGGAAAAGGAAATTGCTTCACAAATCTCTTTCTTCCCAACATATGATTTTCAGTCAACGTTGCAGTACTGCAACCTAAGCCTCCCACGGGGAAGGATTATAGGCACATTTACTCAAACACTGTAAAGGAAGGGACAACAGCAGCAGCAATGCTCCTTCCATCTCTGCATGAAAGAAGGTGCTGTATCTGCAGCAAAAAGATCCTCTGCATAAAAAAAGATTCCTTTGTGATTTTGAAGCTCAAAAGATTTCCACATAACCTGTTTTATCAAGCCTTCTGTCAATATACTTCAGAGTCTGCACATTTATATTTGTAATTAAAATCTGACATGGAACTTGACTTCATGTAATATGCAACCAAGGCATTCTGCTTAAAAATGTTTTAGCCTTATCATTTTGTCAGTGGGTCTGTGCCTCCTTCCAAAATCTCAGGAGAAGGGATAGAAACCAAACAAGCAAGTGCTGAAAGAAGTGTAGTCCCAGAGTCACATGCAGCCTGTCAGTATTCATTTTGCAGATGGGGCCAAAAAATTGGGCACTTTTTTCCATTTATGAGAGTTGGAAAGGTTTTAGGCCTTGCAGATGCCTAAGGCACGCATTTTGCTCCTTAAAACTCCGTACTTCCTCCTGATACAGGGCCCAGTGTTTACTACTTTTGGAGCATAGCCCTCATTGTGCCATGCAAAGCCTGGTGTGGTCCTTGAGTCAACAGATGTTATGCACCCCTGCTGCAGTTTCTTCTAGCCCTCCCTCCCACTGCATTATGGTACCTGTCTCTACCAATACTCCCTTCCTTTGCTTTTTCTTATTTGCTAAAATGCTTAATACAGTGAAAACCCAAATGTTGCAATCAGAATAAATCTGCAAGTTTCTATACATTATACATTTTAGCTCATTTCTCCTGAACACTGTAGGTTCTGGTTCTGTGGCTTCTATCATCCCATTCTGTGGTTAGCTCTAGGTTTCTACCTGAACAGATGACAGCCATGATTGCTGGGACACCATAGTATGTGAAGGCACCATTCTCAAATCGCAGTCCTTCCTTCCCCACTTCCACCTCCACTTTTCCCTATAGAAAAAAACAAACAGCGTGTAATTCAGCTGTCCCAGTTACCTCTCTTCCACAAGCCTTGGCCACCCACTGAAAAAGGAAAAATACATAATATAGCTTAAGAAAATAACTTCAGGTAAGAACAAGAGCAGTTCACTCACAAATACTTGTGGCTGTTCATAAAAGAAAAAACAGGAAATGCAAGTCAAAATAGCTGGGGGACATCAATAGCGATATCTTGAGATGTCAGGTTGGGAATAAGAGCAGGTCAAGTACTTACTCTTTATTCTCTAACAAGACATGTACAAGTTACCTGAGTGAACATATAGTTTATAGGATTTTCTCATGATCAGAACTGATAACTTATCTATAGCTATCCATGAGGAATACCTAAAACAAATCCTTGGAACATGTCCTTTTCTATTCTTGGTATAAAGATCTCATATTTATATATACATTTATTTCCCAGATGTTATTTCTTTTTGAAGCCTAATTAACCATGTAAAGTAAATACTTCCTATAGTAAACAGTAACCTTGGTGTTACAAATTCCCCTCACTAATCTTGACAAACCTGTAAGATGAGCACAAAATAGTCAACTGGCCGGTTACGTTGGTAAAGATAGTGCTCAGGTGCTCGCTTGTTTTTGTGGTCAAATTTCATCTCCTGGATGACATTGGGATGTTTGAGCAGCCGTAGCAGGATCTTCTCTGAGAGATGTGGCATCTTGAAAGGTTCCACCTCTGCAAAGGAAGAAAAGGGAAAGAAAGCAGTAACTATGCTTTCTATGCTAGGACAACTTAGGAGAAAGGTGGTTGGAGAAAGACAACACTTTTAAAAAAAAAAATTAGGAATTTTAATTACAATAGTAAAAACTAATACAAACTAAACTTAGAAAAAAAGAGAATGGCAAGAATAAAAAGTGCAGGAAAAAAGAAAAAGAAGAAAAGGAAAGGAAAGGAAAGGAAAAGAAAAGAAAAGAATATAATATAATAAAGAAAAAGAAATATCTAAAGAAGTGACTTCCAACCTTCATCAAAACAAGTATAAACAAATTTAGTAACTCTTCACCCCCTGTAAGGTTAAAGAGATATCTCTTCATCCCCTATCCCATCCCCTATCTATAACCAAATCCATAAAACATCAACTTTTCAACCCTCATGTCAGCAAAAAGTCCATACAGGATTACCAGAACATTGCATCTTATTTTAACCTTGATCAAATAAACCAACTTTACATTCCTCTCTTTTACTTCTAACAGTCTTAATCTTTAATTCAATCAAATGTTGCCATAGGATTTGATTTCTCTTCAATTCTTCTTTATCCCATTGCACAGATTTCTTCAAGGCTTTAACAAGCCTCTTTAATCAAATGTTGCCATAGGATTTGATTTCTCTTCAATTCTTCTTTATCCCATTGCACAGATTTCTTCAAGGCTTTAACAAGCCTCTTTTGTAGGTCTAATAAGAAAACATTTTCCAGGTCATTCTTTTGGTTTATCATTTGTATTTCCCTTTTAAAACTTCAGCCAGTTTCTTTTGCATATCCAGTAAAGCA